GTGCGCCGATGTTACGCTCGACAGGCCCTAATTACTGCTGCGTTGTGTAGAAATATAGGGTCTTTAATGAATTAGTTCGCTAAAAATCATATATCACAATCACTTCGAGACAGACTTTTCACTGATATTTCTTTACTTAAAGTGAAAATATGTTAAGCCAATAAAACTGAAGAGTTAGGTAATATTCACGCTTTGTATTCATCTAATAGATCTACGCAATTCTGCTTTCTTTAAGTGCTAATTTTTAATAGCGTTAAGTTTCCAGTAGCCAGCATGCTAAATGCTGACTTACTTTCAAGTATTTAATGTGATGTTGCAGTGGCCCGTATTTTATCTGTTAAGTTTTCGATTGTCGTTCTAACTTGATAGGTTTTAATGATGTTCTATATAATGACTTTCTTTGGTGAGTGTTTTAACGATAGTTAGCGCAATGGATGTGTATGAAAGCTGAATTAGCGTCGTCGAGGATTACTTTTCAGTGTACATGGGCCCGTTTTACACTTCATTTTCTGCAATTCAGCAAATATAATGAGTTCATTAATAAGCATGCGTTGGAGTTTTGCAGAATTGCAATTAAATTTTGCGGTTACTAGTTCGTGGCTGTGAAAATGTTTTTTTTGCGAAACGAATTTTAAGGCGCATGTTGGTTCAATAGACTGTTTTACAAATTTCCTTTATCGCTCAGAAATTTTTTATTTTCTTTTGCTACTAAGTACATTACATTGATAGCTGTTGCAAAAGTGTCTTGCCAATAAATGCTGTTGGGACATTAAAGTTATAGTTAGTAACTGTATTCTTCTGCTAAGGTATATGCCACTAGCTTAGTTCGAATGTAAACGCATATTTTTTGTGATTAACGGTTTTAATATTGGAATAAGCCGTTTTACATTTCGCACTCTAAATCCCGTATCATTCAAGTACTGTGTTATGACTTTATTGTAGGCTTTCGGTTCGTACTTCTCGTCCTCAAAATTTTCAGTTATCTATTTATAGTTCTTTATGCCACTTAAAGTGTTGAACGTACACATTCTGTGTGATGAAAGAGGCCGAGCACTCGGTGAAGCTGATGTTGACTTCCCTACGCATGAAGATGCATTAGAAGCAATGAAAAAAGATCATGAAAATATTGGTATGTTATCTAAAGGTTGTTACTTAAACGTGACCTCATTATTTTTGGTCATTGTAAGCAAAAGTGTTTAGTGAGATAGCACCGTTATCCTTCGTTTTTGACAGGATGTAGAAAAGCAGTTACGCAAGCGTGAAAATACGAAAGATTTCAAAGCAAAGAAAGATCTGCAAATTTTTGTTGCTGCTTCAGTGTTAGAGCATAGGAAGGTTTCGTATTTAACAGTTGTGATGATGATGTTCTCACTGGAACATTTCAATTCAGGAGGAATGGCTGAATGAATTCAGATCCCTACGGCCTACAGAGTACATCTGACCGAAGAAGACGCCAAAAGTATGGAAGAGCTCAAAGATCGCCAGAACTATCGACCATCACACTTCTGCACAGGGTCTAAGAGGTTCTTACCCGAAACAACCTCAGCCGTAGCAGAACAAGCCGGTTACCGATAGACCAGAGACCACGTCTACGCGTGAAGCAGTTAACAGAGAAATGAAAGCAATATAAATTCTCCACCTGCTATGCATTCATCGACTTCAGAAATGCATTCTGTTTCATCAAGATAAACTCTGTATTGAACGCCTTGCACCATTGCTGTATCAACCCTTCCTGCATCGACCCAATCGAGGAATATCGTTTCGATGAACACTGACACCGAGGTTGTTCGAGAAACCGTGTCGAATCAGCGGAGGAGTCCACCAGTAAAACGCCATTTCTCCTAAGCTTTTTACGACGGCGCTGGAATCCCTCTTATCGCCTGAACTGTGGCGGCGGCTTAACACTGACGGAGAACGGCTCTCCCGTTTGCTTTTTGCAGACGACGTCATCCGATTGGCCAGAAACGGGGGAACTCTAAAGACTCTGCAACTGCAGAATTAGTCACGCGCCATCGGTCCTGAGATGAACATGAGA